AATTATTTACACGGCTCGGTGGAAAGACGCTGAAAAAAACTCTCTCTCTCTCTCTCTCTTTCTCTTTCTATGGCGCGAGGTTGAAACGAGATAATGCGGTGTGGTTTACATTTCATGGGACCTGGGAATCTTGGCGCCACCGTAAAAGTCCCGTGCCGCCGACTTTTCTTACTCCGACGAATCCGGAAACGCGTCGGTTCACGGGATTAGGTCGACCAGAGACGCGAGGGGACAAGGAACGTAACCGAAACTTTTTTTCCCCGTTTCTTCGAATTTCGTTTCCTTTTCTTTTCCTTTCCTTTCCTTCCCTTCTTTTTGCCGCGGTTGTCCCTTGGACTTGGAGCGAGGAGAACAAAAAACCGCTAGGCAGCAAAATAAATATAGCCCGCAGTAGTCCGTATTCTTCGCCGAGGCATTGTGGTCGGCGCGGCGCGGTAAAATACGACGCTTTTATTATCCCATGAGTTTTAGCATGGCGCAACGCGGCCGGAATAAACTCTCGAGACTGCGGCGGAGGGGTGAATTTGGGAGGAGAGTAAAACCATTGCAGCTTGGACCAAACCAGACCGGAGGATCTTCGGATCTCGTATCTCCTATTTATCACGCAAACTTTTCTTCATTTTTTACCATCCAGCCGACGAGAAGGGGCACGTATATCGAAGTCGCCATCCCCTCCCTCGAGAGCGAAAAATCGTTGGAAATATGTTTTATCCATACGTTACGTTCATTCGTACGCGTATCAACTTTGCTGATCCAACCTCGATTCGAGCAAGAATTCCTTTCTCCCCGAGCAGAGGTGGTCGGCTTTCTGGATTCTTTTGCGACTGGGAGAGAAAGAAAGGGTGAGAGATGGATCGCGCGAAAAAAGGAGGGGGAAGAGTCGATTATGAGCGGGTTCGGCTTTGGCATTGGAAAGAAAGTGGTCGGTAATGAGCGAGGATACGGGCGAGAAATTATCTCGGCTTAATTGCGCTCGTTTTTTCGTTATTAGCCGGGGTTCTAAGGTGGAGAGAGAGAGGAGGGAGGAGATCGCTTCGTGGCTTTGAGCACGAACGACAGTTGGAAGGGAAACGAGAGAGAGAGGGAGGGAAGGGAGAGAAGGCTGCCTTTGCTCCCACACATAGGCTGATCGAGTGGAAATTTATTCGACGATTAAACGTTTGATCGGCGGACCAACCGGTGGTGGTATACGCAATTCCATTAGAACAGAGCTGTGCACGGTTGATTTCTAACGCGACCCCCGGAATAAACTGATTCATACGATTACCCCGTAGTCGCGTTATTCCATTACACCGGGTTCAATTATTTATGGCAAGGATATATCGCGAGAAATACCGCGATTTGACGAGAACGCGATTATACGCCTATTTCGGTTACACGTCGAAAATACAAACGTAAACCGGTTGCGGTCGAATATAAACGAGCGGCTCTCCTTTCTCGTCGAGAGAGAGAGAGAATAGAAGAAGAAGATGGCTTTTATTTCCGGGACGATTAAAACCATTCTCCATTTTTGGGAATTTTCGAGAAGAACGAAGAAGACTACGAAAGACTACTACTTCTTACGCTCTCGAGGGGTTATCGTGGAAAGTGCGGAGGGAGGGCGAATAAATCGGCGCGTTATCGGCGCGCACACCGTCGATAGAGGTGGGGGGAGGGGGTTATCGGCTGCACCCTGAGCGCGCAACGTTCACGAAAGGGGCGCGATAACGATGCAACAGATTCCCATCGATGATGGCAGAAGTACGTACTACGTAATCGGGGTCGGTTCGGTGAGCACACCAGCCTCGCAGCTGATCGACCCGCAACTACGATGTTCCGGAGATTACCGGATACTCAATTAAGGGATTCGGTATCATAGAATTCGAGAGCTTCGGATTAAGGACGCTTATCGCGGGAGTAACTTTGGATTATAGACCGTCGTGCGAGAGAGCCGCGGAATCCTATCTGCTCGGCCCACGATTCGCGAAAATATGCCTCCCATTTTCCAATTATGCATTTATTTCATAATTCTCTCAGGGGGGATTTTCAGTTTGGATAAAAAATCTTAAATCTTTGGAAAATGGATGGTGGGAAGAAAAAGAAGAAAGGAGAAGTAAAGTAGTGGGCCGGTGTCGATGATTTGCTAGCCATCGTTAGCGTAATTAGTAATATCTGATTAACTAAACCGGAATGGAATCGGATTAAATGAAATCGGAACGCGAATCGCGGTAGCTCGTAAATCAGCTTATCCAGCTGCAACTTGTCCTTTATTCATCGTATTTGAGCTTATTTGCAGTTACACTCTACATTTACCGTCTATTGCCTCTGCGCCGATAAATATCGTATCATTATCGTTCCCATTAACCAGCCTACCAGCGCGATATTACCGATGATCAATTTGAAATCCGTGCAAATCGCCTACTCGAAATCACTCTTTCGTAACTTCGGTATATATATATATACATACATATAAATACATATGAACGCAGCTCGATGCTCTTCAATTTTCGTGAAATCGAACACGACCTCCTTTGATTTACGCGTCGCGCGGCGAAGAAACACCTCCGATCGCGAG